GACGCGTCCGGGCTCTACAAAGCGGTCGAGTAGAGTGAGACAATGCGGAGATGTCGGCAACTGAGATACTCGGGACAGAGCTTCGTTCTCCCAAGCCTCTGGCCGTGCAGTCACGGCGCCGGTTGACGCCTTCACCGCGACATACTGTGCCGTTCTATTGCGGACGTGTTGAGTGAGATACAGAAGGATTGACTAATGTACAACGCACATATTGTCGCGAGCTAGCCAGGTGCTGGAATGCATGCCCCATCCGAGCTTGCGGGCGATAGTGTACCGCTGGTCCGGTCCAATGGACTGACCGAAGTCAAACCGGGGCCATCCACAACCATCGTCGACGGTAAGTCCGAGAGGCTCCTCCACGAATGAAACCTCGGTGATAGGTGTACCGTCAGGCCCGTCGAATATTCGCATGTTCGGCTCGTGTTGTGGTGAATACGTTGTCATAGCGCCGATGCTCCAGCCCGCTATAGCGGGGTCCGCGCCAAGTAGTCGTGAGCTTCAACGCTCTACGGTGGGATCAAAGAGGGTCGGGATCCGTCGAACGCGGCCACGCTAGTAAACGTGCTACTTATGGACCTCATCGTCGTGGGTGGGCAGGTCGCGCAGGCGCGTCTCGCGCGCGCCTCGCGTGCTTTCTGACATGTACTACCACCGTCACCTCCTCGCCCCATATGGTTCACTCTGAGGCTTTCGTGACGACAACTAGAACGCCAGACCATATCCGGGACGGTTGAAAGAAGACATCATGGCTGCTTCGAACGCTGAGCGCTGAACCCACATCCGGATGGACCTGCGCCAACGAACCGTTACTGCCAGAGGTACTTCTACTTCATGACTCTTGGGTCCTGGATATTGAAGCGCCCATGATGCAGACTCGGGTAGATGTCCCTTACACGCCGCCTAGAACGGCGAGCTCGAAGACACCCGCACCTGGGTGGCGCACCCACGTCTCATATGCACTCTGGGACCCCCAAGCTATTCGAGAACGACAGAAGATGTAGTCGGTTTTGCTTCAATACTTGGGCCGTCCAAAGGTGCGTGCCATATTCCATAGCTCTTTGTGCCCCTTCCTCATGTACCCGCCAGAAGCTTCAATCTCCTCCTTTCAACTCTGGCATCTACATGCATAGCATGGACCGCTGGTCTGACGGGGAGAATGGTGGCCTGGGTGAAGCAGTGCTCATGGCGACGTGCTATACGTCGAGGGATGTACATATGCTCTAGAGTAGGTGGAACGCGAAGAAGGATTAGACTCTTACACGATGTTGCCCACAAATTCTGCAACGGACCCTTGGCGCATCCTATTCTATCGCTATACAATGTTCAATGTCATCAGGCAGGCAGCGCCGCTGTATCTTCGCCTCGTTCGGTGGCCCAACTCGTCCCTGTCTCATCCTCACTCGTGTCATCACTACCGGTACCGCTGCCGCCTGCTTCCGAGGAACTATCAATGCGTGAAGCCGAAGGCTGATAGAAATCTGCGGTGCATTGAGCTGTACGAGCGCCAATCAGACCAACGAAGCACGTACCGAGGCATTCAGCGGTATCTGTTTCCTTCGCATTCAACCACGCAGACGAAGAATGCAGTTCATCTTCAATCGTCAAACATGCATAGCTCCTCCCAAAGATATATTGCGATAAACGCAGCATCGCCATTGGAGTCGATTCGGGAGAGGTGATAGCGCAGTACACCGAACTCGCGATGTGGGAGTTCCTCACAGGGCCCGTAAGCGTTCCGCCGGACGCAGCGTCGACGGCATCCAGATAGACCTTTCGAAGGCGAATAAGCTCTTCTGGCGAATCATGTCGTGAATTGTGCTCCGCATCAGCATTGACATTCCACCCGTGGAATGTCGGGTCCCAATCGACAGTCAGCCAAGGAGGATAACCGAGGGCGCCTAATTGACGCGGCCCGACGAACGTATCGTCCCAGTCGATGATGGCTGCGATGTTTCCTTCGTCATCGACAAGGACATTTTGACTGTCGAGGTTGCCATGCACGAATACGAACGGACCCCCGTCGTACGTCGTCTCAGGGACGACGCCGAGTAGAAGCTGCAGCACAACGAGGTCCTTCCCCTTGTCAAACCGCCGACGCTCTTCCAACATCGCGCGCAGCCACGCATATGTGGATGTGAAAGGTCCGAACTCGAGATGAGCACGCTCTGCCTGCCATGCCGCGAGTCCGGGTGGGGGTTCAATGAAGTCGTGTTCTTCCCAATCAGGGTGCTCGTGAAAAGGGACGACGTGCACGCCCTTGTCGGGCTGAGATGCATCGATATAGTCCAGACGGCCGATAGTGTCAAACTTCAAACGGGCCATGTCAACCATATGAGACGCCATCTGCTCTAATACGCGATCGCGAGAGCGCGAGCCTGTCCACCACGATGCGTCGTTCCAGACGCTGACCAGTCGCTTCGCTGGGACAAAGTCCATAACGATGTACGGGTATCCCAGAACATTATCCCTGTCGCAAGAGTATGCGTGTATCTTTGGTATAGGTATCCCAGTATGCGAGGAGATGTATGTTTGAGCAAGGATATCCAGTTGCATCGCGCGAGTGCGGGATGCTGACCACATTCGCTGAGGAACGCGAAGAGCCCATCGAACGCCGTCAGAGAAACGCAGCTCGTAGACGGCGTTGTAGCTTCCACACTGTGGCGGAGCAATCGGCGTGCATGTGAGCGTACTCTCGCTGATCGGAATGGTAGCCTGGGAGAGGCGGGTAGCGATAGCGAGCTGCTGTACGACTTCGACACGAGACTCAATGTCCTTGCGCAACGGAGCCCAGATATCTTCGTCCGATACTGATGGGGAGGCAGGTGTGGAAGGAGATCCCATGGTATCCTCTGGAGGTAGTGCTGAAGCAAGCTAGATAAAGTCGGTACAGCGGGGATGTGGGTTGTGGTGAAAGCGCATGGGAGATCTGTCGTCGCAGGTGTTGAGCGGCGTTGGCGCCTCCGCGCGGTCGTTTATGTACGAAAAACACCGATACCTGCAAGTCCGTGGCGGCGGCAGGCCGGAAGGCATAACCCTTGTGCATAGTCATACGCACAGAGATCCGTCTTGAGAGCGGCCCCGAGACTCAGAGTTGACACACTTTGACTGAGCTTGTAGCTTGCGTTATCTTATTATTTTCTAAGGACAATCGGACCCCGACCGACGGCCCTTTGAGCGTTCGGAGCGGACGCGTTACATCACGCATATTGACCGTGATTGTTCGCGTTCTACATAGATGGTGGTAAGGAAGAGAAGGAAAGACTCGTGGGCCGTGCGCGTGGCTCACCCGTTCGAGTCCCGCGCGCCGCTAATCGCGACGGCACACGTGTTGGGTCTGCGCATCTTGGCAGTTCCCATCGTGTCTTGATGCGCATATGTATATTGGATGTACTCTTTCCGGCCAAAATCGCTCTCAGGAATCAGGGATGTCCCTGCGGCACCGGTCCATGTGGCTTGAGAAGTAGCCAACTGCTAATACCGCCGGCATCCTGATGAACCCAGCGTTTGACTTTCAGTACTGACTACCATCCCTATACTATCTTTTTCTCCCGTCGACCTACCAATCGCATGGTATACATGGCCAATACGTCCATACCTACTCCTCGTTCATCACGGGCAGAAGGTCATCCTCGGGTGTCTTCCAGTGCCAGCGATGCTTTCGGCAACGTTGTAGGCTCGGATGACGCTAGCGCTTTGCCCGAGGATAAATTCTGGCTTCGCTACCTTATCGACGCCTCGAAGTATGACAGAATCCAAACGGAGAGCTGGAAGGGCGATACCGATGGCATCCTCATATTCGTGAGTAACCGTAGAATGCCGAAAATGCTCGATGCTCACACTTTCGATTTTAGACAGGTCTCTTTGCTGCCACCGTGGCAGCTTTTCTCGTCGAGAGTTATCAGTTACTCTCACCCAACTCTGCCGATGTCTCCTCAGTGCTGCTTGCGCAGATCTCGTCGCAGTTGGCTCAGCTTGGGAACGGCACATCTGCGCCCGCCCAAGCGCTGCCGCCATTCGAAGTGCCACGCTACGCAGTAACCTTGAACATCCTCTGGTTCATGAGTCTACTACTGTCTTTGATGTCTGCGCTGGCTTCAACATTGATGCAACAATGGACACGCCGATACCTGCGCGCTACTCAACATCGTGGGCCAGCTCGCAAGCGCGGACCGGTGCACGTCTTCTTGCACAGAGGAACTCGACGTTTCAAGCTCAGTCTTGTCGTGGACTGTATTGTTTGGCTATTACATGCCGCAGTCTTCTTATTCATCTCAGGTCTACTCGTGTTCCTGTTCATACTAGATGAATGGATTGCATTTGCCGTTGTTTCCCTTGTGGCTACAGGCGCCGGCGTTTATTTATTCTTCACGGCGCTCCCCTTGGCGTTCAATGACTGTCCATACAGCACGCCCTTAACTCCGTCTCTGCGCCTAGTCGTCACGACTTTATATGCCGTAGCATATGTGGGGACCGTCGCCGCGTCACGTCTTATCACCTTCCTATCGCCTGGCAGTAGGGTTCATAGCGCTCTACGGCCCTTTGCGTTAACCGTCTTCAAGAACAAACTCAAGGCCTCGCTACACATGTTGTACATCTCACCCAAGTCCCTGCATACCACTTGCGCGCTGGAGAGATCAGACGCGCGGGTATCATACGCTCTTCACCAAACCTTAAAGAATGTCGATGAAGCCCATGAACTGGAAGAGTTCTTCGATGGACTGCTCCCGTTGCTCCTGTCGCCTTTGGTCAATGACAAGATCGCCGTGGTTAGATACCTCTTCGAAGAGGAGGGTTTGAGCAGGCGCTTACAGGAGCTGTTCGTCTCCTGCGCAGTCGGCGCTCATGCGCGATTTAGGCGCGATCTGGCTCTCACGCCGGTTCTTCGCGCCCGCCGAATCTACATCCTGCTGTCCTGCTCAAAAGACCTCATGGCGCTGCTTTTCGGGTCGGGTACCGCGCGCTATCGCATCTTCCACGAGCTCCAGTACAACATCACTGTCTGGATGCGATTACTATCAGACGATGACCTCGCCGTGTCCCTCCTTGCGCGTTGCTTCTTCTCCGAGCTACGCATGATGTTGCTCGAGGCTCCTCCCAATCATCATGCAGCTATGCAGAACACAACACCCGGCACGCATTCGGCCAGCCTCCGAAGCCGCGCCCCTACACCTCGCGACCCTTGCATTGATCTGTTGAATCTGCTGTTCTTCCGACACTTTGGCGTCAAAAGCAGTTATCTGCAATACGGACACGTACACAACCTTGTCGGTTTCGTGTATGACATGCTCCAGATCGCGCCGCCGCGCTTGATTGACACAATACTGCGCGAGTACGGACCCTTATGGAGAACATTGTTGAAAGCGCTCGAGGCTCAGGCCATCGCACACCCGCCGCATCGAGGCTCTGACGCATACCGCGCGTTTTGGAGGATGCTCGCCGATGCAGGACTAGAAGACCTACTGCCGCAACCGCCGTCTTCCGCAGAAAACGATGGAGTGCGACAGGACCCTGCACCTATCTTGCACATGGTGCACCCGGACATACTGAATTCCCTGAGAGCGGTTGCGCGGGCTTTCCACAACGATGCCTCTCGCTTCGCGGCGTCAGCGGAACTTCAAGCTGAATGATGAAGGAGTTAACTATCATGCGATATGATATCTCGAACTCTTTATATGTACAAATGGTCGTACAACTGCGTCAGTCAGGATATAACGGGTCAATGTCCAGGTCAAGCGAGCGAAGGAGTCAGCGAAAGGAAAGCGAAGAGGTAAACGACAAATTGTGCAGAAGAATCGCACTGTTACTAGAAAACGATTGCGTCTCCCTGTATTTGATGCTGCTGCAGCACGAATGTGTTCGTCTGGGTGTTGAGTTCGCACTGCGCGCCACTCGACGAGACACGATAGCCAGAGCGGCAGCGGCGTACCGCACACCGACCAGTGTCACATGACACGTCGAGGACTTCAGGAAGAGCAGTGCAATCGGTTCCGTTGGCGGTGCGACCGTGTTCAACGAAAGGATGCGGTATAGTGCACCCACCGCCTGAGCGTCGAAATCAGTGATGAAGAGATAGACGATGCGAAAGAAGCTTTCTCACAGTTCTCGAGATCTCGTGCAGTATCGAGACACTCGTAACCCAGAGAACGCCCGCCGTAAACACCGCATACGGACTCGTGCGCCTCACAAGTGCGCTTAGCTTGGGAGTACGAGGTAACACCGGCGATACGAGCTTCGTGCGGGAGGTGTGTGTTACGCTTTCCATAAGGAGCGGCAGAAGGGCAACCCTAGATCGGCATCAACAAAGATGTCCTTGTCGATAGTTCGATTCACTTACATGCGGGAAGGTACCGCAAACACCGTTACAAAGTGTACCTCCGCAGACGCAGGAATTGCCTGACTTGACGTAGGGAGGGGTGCAATTGAAGGCGCAAGGGTTGCTGGCTGTACAAGAAGAGACTGCGCCGGTTGGGTAGGTGCATTGCTGACAGCCGGGGTCCTTGTCAAGCTGCGAAAAGATGTGTTTACAATTTGCGGGTCGGTGATAGAGCGTGAATACGCATACCAAGTCAATCAACACGCTTGCTAGGACGTTAGCGCCAACAAGATCCTCCAGAGCCTTTAACTCCGCGTTGGCGCTGATATCGACGGTCAAAGTGCTGAGACAGATGCAGATATCCGCGCCGAGATCGAGGTTGAGTATGCCCAACAACCCGACTACGTCAAGCTTGTCGACAATGGCAGATAAAGAAATTGTGAGGCAGGTATCGAGCAGAGAACCCCTTGTAGTGAGCGGATGGTATCGCGTACGAGAGGCGGCAACGAGTAGGGGAAGGCCGAGGGCTGTAAGGAGCGACGAGACACGCATGGTCAGTATAAAAAAGAGTGTCAGGGTCGCAAGCGGGCGACAACGATAGTCAGACTTGAAGGCGGTTGAAATCGGCGCGAGCCCGAGCGCGTTCTTATATGTCTCCCGCTGACGCGCGAACACACAACATGGAAGACGCCCAGACTTGCGGAGACTTGCGGCCTGTCTGCGGGCATATGTCTAGAATCAGATGTGGCATGGAGCCGGCTCTCCCGCAAGTGTTCTATCTGACGATCTGTCCATCCAAAAGATGTTGAATGCAAGCAAGATTCGGAGCATGTTCGTCAAGTTGGTAAACGCGTGTACAAAAGCAGAACGATGCGAATTAGGCCCGACCGGTTCACTCGGGGGGCGGTACACCGCCTCTGGTGCCTCAGCTTCTCGGGTGCCAAGCGACGAATTCGACTAGGACTGTATTCCCCGAGTGTCGCTTGCCAGCGCAGAGACCCCGGGTCGCAAGGGGATTGGCGTCCGTCTCCACTACATCCGGCTCAAACATCACGACGTGTCCATGGCTTTCAACTGTCGTCGCGTTTGAGTGTGTGTACGCATCCATAATACGGGTTTCGTACCTCCTGGCCACTCGGTCATTCGGGATCTCGTATAACCCGTCTCGCGTTCGAGCGGCTCGCGCGAGCAGCTCTTCTCGAGGCAGCACATCTTCCGCCGCATCGGGCACCCTGTCAAGCGGGATGCTCGCTTCTACTGCCATTACACGTCCATCCGGAATCTCGCCTGCAGCCCCTTCAGGCGCTTCGGCCAGTCGAACGGCTTCAACGAGTTTCACGAGCTCCTCCAGTTCTTGCGTTAGGCGAGAATGGCCCGCCGTACCGTTGGCCGGCGGCACAAGGGCTGATAGTCTATGAAGTCGGGATAGCGTGTCGGGAGAGATTATAGGTTTAGGGTAGGACGCCAATAGTTCGTCCACGGACCACGTCGGCTGAAGAGGTATGCCTGTGTCGTCTGTAGGCACAAGTTGCGGTTGTTGTCGCAGGGAAGGTTTAGACAGATGGAAGCCGCGTCGCGTCCGGTATAGAGCAGATAGAGCGGAGCGCCGACATGTATGCATGGCAAGTCAATGGATTAGAGTCTATGTAGAGTGTAGTGGTCGCACCGTAACTTGTGCCGTTCGGCGCTCGGTCATCGGTGTTTTCGGCCCGCGGCGAACGCGGTCACCTGGGCGCGATCTCTGCGCGTCGCCTCGCGGCCTGTGCACTTTACCAGGTGCACTCATCTTCCTGCGGTCTCAACTATCACCCAGACTACCCAACCCATGTCTAAACGCCTCATATCTCCCACGGATGTATGCGCCCATTGTAATACAGGCCCTCCCACAAGCCCTGAGTTATCTCGATGCTCCAAATGTCGCCTCTCGATGTACTGTGTGAGTAGCGGTGGCCGTCTGCCAGCCCATCCAGCATTCCCTAATACCTTCATCAGTCCCCAGAGTGCCAGAAGGCTGCATGGAAGCAACATAAGAAGGTTTGCCGTGATGCACCCGTCTTGAAGTCAACGCCGCCAGACGCGCTTGTCGATGGAGTCCGCGTCAAGGGCCCCATCTTCCATCCCGAGAACGTCACGATTGCGCCCGACCATCCCGTCTGGACGAAGGGCACAGTGTCTCCTATATCTCAACTCATTGACTTTCCTATCTTGATTCACCGCGACGAGCCAGAGCATGGGTTAAACGTGGCTAATATCGAGAGCAGGCGCGGCCCACCTTGTCCTATGCAGTAACACCAAACCTAACGATCTTTCGACACGCAGGGATATCCAGTCTATCACGTATCTCATGATCAAGCCAGAGATTGGATTTGCTGACATGCGTTGGCAGAAGAACGTCGGCACTGTACGTCTCTATGCTCTTCAGCCTGCACTTCCATACTGACATTGCATCGGCCAGTGCACAGTCGTGCGGGCGGACCAGAAACATCTGACGCACGTCGCACTTGAGATGATCTGGATGTACTGTGACAAAATCCTTAATGTCTTTGGCGAGGCCGGCCCACCAGCACCATATAAGATGTACAACTCGCAGGCCTTCCACGCCTTTTGTCAGCAGTACAAGGAAGAGTACACGCAGATTCCAACACGCAGAGCCGAGTTTGAGAGCTTGGTCCTACCGCTCCAGTGATCCACAGTGCCCGTTATCTCACGCGACGTAACATCCGAACACCGTAATATTGATTCAACAGACACAGTATATAAACGTCCAGATATTGCAATACTACGTTGCACATCTCATAACATTCCAGGTCATCGTAAGCAGTTCAAGTTACTAGTACAAATGGGCCGCGTATGTCGTGAAGGAAGGTCCATGCGGCTTAGACAGATCAAGGACGAGTCGCTGTCGCACCGTAACCTGGTTGAGCAGCGTACCCAGGCTGGGCGCCATACCCAGGGCCTACAGGAGCGGGGCCGGCGGCACCGCCCCTGAACGCGCCGTTGCCGACGTCTAAATGATAGGTGAGAACTGCGTACTGCGCGCAGGATCAGCGTTGGAAGACGTACACATGTACCCTCCACGACCATACATCTCCTCTGCCTTCATACGCTTGTAGATGAGCCAGAAGGCATGCTAGAGTGATCGAATGAGTATAAGCGTCCAAGAGACTTCGGCCAAGTGAAGCGTACGATATGTCCTGGGAGATAACCGAGGCTATTGTACACGAAGCCATCAGCATCTTGGTAACCATATATCTCGTGGAAGATGCATACATCGTGAGAAGGATGTTGATGAGCAGGTCACAACTGCATCCTGTAATGAACGCGGCGGCGGCAGGGGGGAAGATGATGGCCACCTGCGCCGAAGTCAGAGCCGAAAACGATAGATTGATCGACTCATACTACGCACAAGAATGAGGCAGACGTCTGAGCCACGAATGGGCATGATTGATGTTTATTTCGGAGGTTACGTAGGGGCGTCGTAGAGGTAGTGGTGGTAGAGGTTCAAGTTGTGCGGTGCGCAGGCGCCATGTCTTTTGTGCGCGCGGCGAGCCAGCGATGACGTCAATCTCGAGCGCTTATTACAGCCCCCGTGCCGCGCTCTCCTCTGTTCTTCTCCAAGGAACGCTCACAGGGCAGTGACTCTGTGAACAAGCCCAGTCGGGCCTGGCGACTGGTGGGCCGTCACCAAAGCCGGAGCCTATCGAATGCTTGTTACGGATACATTGTATGGTGTTGGTGGATTTGATGTGTTTAAGACACCCGCTAGCGCCAGGAAGAGAGCGTATGCTACTGGTACATGTATAGAGGTAACCGGTACGTTACACCAGGCGGTGATACAATGGATGATGGATGAAGTGTGCTGCGGAGACCAGGGATAAGGATAGACTGTGGGGGTAACAGGGGTGTATATTATAGAATAAAGCAATAAACTTAGATTAGATCGGCGTCTTGGAAGTTTCCGGTGAAGATGTGTTCTCGTACTGTCCCACGGTCAGCGAGTCAAATGAACAGGAGTGATACAAGACGTACTCCGAGTGAGGACTAGGGCTGTAGCTTTGGCATCCGTAGCGCAAGTGAAATGTGTGTGCAGCGCACGGCTATGGCTGATGGTCGTTTGCCTGAAGATGGACGTAAACTTGTCCTTGAGGTCTATAGCTCGGGATCAGAATGGTAGTGTGTGACATGATGAACGAGCGCACAGAGCAGGACAGGTTCGGTATCATTGGGCCGGTTCTTGTAGGACGTGACATGCTGCGCGAATTGGACTCCAGACTTGAGTTTCGCATCGAGGATGTCGTACTTGTTCAGGCAAAGTATGAAGGACACGTTCCGCAAGAGCCTGCTCGAGCAAACCGTCTTCCAGATTAGGAACGAGTCCCACAACCGGTTCACCGTCGGATCTTCTGACAGCGTTTGGTCAAACGCAGATGCGGGTGCGAGAAAGATGAGCATGTTGACTGGCGCATCAAAGTCAGTAGAGAGATTCAAGGTCGCTATTTCTATCACGCACTATCTTCGAAGAATGGGATCCAAGCCGCACGTTGGTGTCTACTACCACCAACATCAATGATGGACCAAACTTGTCCAGCTTCCGCGGCTAAGAACAGTCGTCAAGCCAGGGACGACGGAGACGCGACGGCAGTGGTAAGATGTACGCACAAGACTCGAGCTTGAGTATGTGCTCTTCTACACCCATCGTCTGAATACGTGCTTTTAATACGTCATCGGTGGTCGGCTCGTACCCCGGCGCCGCTATTCGATCAACCTGGTCAAGAAAGCTACCAAGCGTTCAGTCCAGGTGCTCGAGTTTCGAAGGAAAAGAACACACAATCCAGACTGGAATTGCAACGCAACATCGTTGAGCACAAGTGATTCTCGTACAGTCGGGTGGGCCCAAAGCGCGGCCATATCATCCCGACATGCCTCGATGACTCTGCGCGCGTTCTCAACCTCCTGGTACCCAGGTGGATACTCTCTGCTGGGTTGTGCCGTCGAGTTACGGCTGAACAGCGACTTCCACTTTGACCCCCGCGCAACTTGCACGTCAAACCCTCGCACATTCCCATTCGCATCCTTGAAAGCTGTCACACCCGCACCAGGTGCGGCCATCCTTTCGTCGGCGAGAAAGCGCGATAAGGCAGCTTCGACCGTGCGGAGCGGCGACAGCGTGACCCGCAGGCGGCGCATCTCATCAGAGAGATTGGGTGAGCCCAGGCGTTCGCCCGATGCGCCGCCGTTCACGATATCGAGGATGTACATCACGCTGCGCACCAAGTTCAGGTCGATGACCGCTCTCCATGCCGCCACCTCCGCCTGGAACGCCGCGGGTGCGAACTTAAGATGAAAGTTGCGCAGCATGGTCGACTTGCCGGATTCCGCCTGACCTGTATGCGGAAGGGAAGATCAGCACTTCGTTCGGGGTTGCCGCAGGGCGCTGAGATGAGCGCGCACCGAGAAGGATGATCTTGACGTCTATGCGCCGCTTCTTCCGCTCCTGGCGGTCATGTTCGATCTCCGCCTCGATGGCATCGTTCCTGCGCTTCGCCTCACGTTCAGCCTCCAGTCGGCGTTCCCGGTCTGCGGGCGTCTCGTTCGCGATGACGGGACTAGGCGGGGGCCAAGCGCTATCGAGCTGTTCAAGGTCGACCGGATGAGCGGCACTGTTGCCGAGACCAGGAGGTGAAGCCAGCGGCTTGGGTGAAAGTGCCCGTAGTTTGTCGCGTAGAGGCATGTCGGCAGAGTAGTGTAGGGCCACGGGCTCTACGGGGGACGATTGGGAATGAGTAGACGACGAAATGGTGGGCAAAATGTCCTCGGGAAGAGTGGACAAAGAGAGGAGGAAAGGGTGCGCGTCGGAGCTCGTTACGAGGGAGCGCGAGCAGAGCGGATCGGTGTCGCACGGGAGTAAAGTACACAGAGCTAGATGCGACAGCCGATCGACTCCTGAGAGGCTTCAGGACAATTCTTGCGCCGGCTATTTCGTACACAGAGCGGAAGGCAAGTCAGCCGGTGCGGAGGGACACAGCGCAACCCAAACGGAGCCGATAGGAAGCCACACGAAGCAACAGAGCGTGAAGACCGTTCACGACCAAGGGAGGGGGTCGCAGAACAGCCAGAGAGGAGCGCGCAGTTACATGATACGTGCTCCTCATATATGTTATCTCCCCCCATCCCGTCGCCGCCCGGGACGACGACGGTGGATGCTGATGAGATGCAAGGGACGCGGTATGCGACATACGCACGAGCCATCACACCAAAATGGGTTAGGCGCCGCAGTTCGAGTCTGTTCGAGTTCGCAACTTGTCCACCTCCCACATAGATCGGCCTTTTGGATCTCGGCGCTTTTGTCGTCGCCTGTACATGCTTCTCCAGCACACTCGTCCTCTGAGGTGCAAACATATACAATGCGCCTCCTGCGTGAGCTCACGGCGGTCATCTCGGTCAAGCAAAGGAAATTCAAAACAGGGCCGCAACTACGAAAGTGGCCCGCGCGCCGAGCCGCTGTCGTACCGGTCCCCCGGCTACCCACTTTCCACCGAGCCAGCCCTGACAGCGGCTTGTTAGCTCCGAGCAATAACCTCTTCTTGTACTTACGTCTAGAGTCGACAACGATTGTGAATCTCGATTGTGTTTACGCTTCAATGACTCCATCGCCACACGCGATGTTTGTGGCACCTATGATGACCCAACACCCTCCAAGCGCTGCTCCTTCAGGACACCGTGCACCGCGAAAGAATGACGATACGGCCTGTGCGGCAACAGACGCTGCCTGTACCGCGATATCCGGCTCGGAAGAAAATGCCTCTCCACAGCCTGGAATCACAAAGTACCTAAATTGCCTTCCATGGACGTTCTCTACTCATCGAACAGCGACCCGCCATCCGCTCGGTGCAAATTTCCATCTCCGCGGGACTTGCGCAGAGCAACCAGCATCTCCGCTGGGACCTGCCTGGACCGACAGCTAGCGTCGATTGGAGCCGGCCCTGTGCCTGCCGGCGGGTCTCGTCGACGGCTGGGCGGATAGCCGCGCGTGGGCACATCATCATTATGCTACGGCGTAAGGTCCGCCTCTGTACGTCTATACACCGCCCTCCGGGCCAACCTGGTCTTGGTGTCGGTGAGGAGGGGGAGACACTTCGCCGCGGGCTCCACCCACCCGCCCCGCCCG